CGAAACTCTGGCTGTGCAAATCGCTTGTGTCCTTGGGCAAGGCACTTTATCTACGTTTGCCTCTCTCCACCCGGGAGTACAAGTGGGTATCTGGTAGGTTCCTGCGCTGATTACTAGCTGCAATATTATGGAATGATAATATAATTTCATTTACTAATTTAATTTGGTGTTTGATCCAATGACCGGGGTAGTAATGTGAAGCGCTTAGAGGCCTTGCGCTATATAAGAACGACATATTATTAATATTTTTACTTTATTGTATTATATACCATCTTCGAATTTTATTTTTGATTTATATGTATAAATATACAGTATATATCAAAGTAAATTTAAAATGTAAAATCTGAGAAATAATTCTAAAAAAATAATGATATGTTACTGTTTTCATATACTTTGTCGCTAGGAAGAATTGCATAAATAAATTTCATCTGGATGGTATTAGACTAACACTTGAATATCACTTCGCTACGGAACTGTATATAATATATATATATATTTAGGAAAAACTCCGAATGCCTTGCAATTATGTAAAAAATTAAAATCCAATTCGGCTTTGTTCAAACGAAGAGTAATCTTTTCATATTTCCTTAATAAAGAAACATTAAAAGGCAAAATACTGAAAAACAACAATGCTGTGGGAAACAATGGCTGGATCTCGGTAGAGATACAAAAATGATAAGCAACAGCTAAAAAGTAAACGTAAGTAAACAGCCATATATATTATATATAAAATAAAACAAAAGTGACTCCAAATAGAGAAAGTGAGGCCATATTTACTCAACGTTCCGACTTTATTAAGTCATCATCAGGAATAAAAAATGTTTACAGAGTAATTACCAAAAATGCTACAATATGCAAATACAATTAATGAGTCATAAGATGATAATAAGCAGCAAATGTGATTGGTCCAGTAGTAAAAGGTGTAGTCATAATTACATAAACAGTTTTAATTCTCTAGAAGCTCTGAGACCACAATTAAGTAAAGGCTTATGCCGGTGAATAGCAAGCGCTTCTTCAAATAACAAGTGGGACCAATTAGAAGAACTATCAATTATTTTAGTATTAGAATAAATTAAAGATTTAAAGTTTGTTATAGAGTCGTCATCAAGTGTGTTAGGTAAGTTATGGAGTCCTAATATGTAATTAAAATTATCACAGGTTTGAACATGATTATGAACTACACTGCTAGATAAAGTAGCATGTTCATGAATTCTGGTAATAAGACATCTATAGCCTGGTTCACGTCGAACTTTATCTAGATATACCCGTCTTGAAACTTAATACGATAATCCCCTAATTGCGTTCGATGCCAAGTTAGAGCCAGATAAACAGCCAGCCAGTTTCAGGCCATCGACGTCACACGGTGGAAAGGCTTGTTTAATTAAACATCTACTGTATTTTACGAACCTCAAGTACCAAGTGGTATTCGTTCAAAAAAATTGTAAACTACTGTAGAGAAGGTGTGAGTTTCCACTACCTAACCTAGCCGACCACTACGAACAACACAGTGCAGCAGCGTGTTCTATCGCAATCTAAGTAGTAGATTCTCTAGGCCCTAGCTACATTTACCTTCGATAAAAAACGAATTATTTTAATCGCTAGCTAGCATTCTTCCATTTAACAAAATATTGTTTTAATTTTCATTAAAACGTATGTATACTTTATAGACCTTTCTGTCCTGTTTTGTAGTCTTTAGATCGCTCAATTGTGTTGTTTACATGCACTTCGCGAAAATCTAGCTTCGCGGTGTCAAATAAGTTGCTGACTTCCACACACTTTTTATTTCGTCATCGTAAACATGTGCGCTCATTTTAACGACTGGCGTTGGTGGTAGTTCATTGAAATTGATTTAATAGCGACTATTATAGCAGAAATGGAAAAGATTGAATTGTCAATAAATAAATACAACAAATCTGATTTTATTGTTAAGAAAAATCTACATTATCATTTTGAAAAACGTACGCAATCGGACTTTTTAACGTTATTACTTGGTCGATGATGCAAAGGGCAAAGGTCATTGGTAATATCGACTATTCGTAAAACGGACATTTGCTGGGTTTTTACCCATAATATTACAAATAATTTCTGAAAACCAGACTAATTAGACTACTTCGATGCTGTTGTTAGCATTGTTGAAGTACGTTGTTGCCAGCCAGAAGATGATAATGGTGGTACAATACAACAAAG